ATAGAAGAGATGAGTCATGAGAAAATGCTTAACAGGGACCTTCAAGGCCTTTTCTCTTTCAGCCTTAACTATACGTGGGATCATCAATGGCAAAACCCTAATGATTTGTAGAAACCATCCCTGTTTTCATAAGAAAGCACTCGGGAGATTTAGCTAGTCCAGGGGTAGGCAACCTATGGCACGCGTGCCAAAGGCGGCATGCGAGCTGATTTTCAGTGGCACTCACACTGCCTGGGTCCTGGCCACCGGTCCGGGGGGCTCTGCATTTTAATTTAATTTTAAATGAAGCTTCTTAAACATTTTTAAAACCTTATTTACTTTACATACAACAATAGTTATATATTATAGTCTTATAGAGAGAGACCTTCTAAAAACTGGCACGCAAAACCTTAATGTATGACCGGCATGCGAAACCTTAAATTAGAGTGAATAAATGAAGACTCGGCACACCACTTCTGAAAGGCTGCCGACCCCTGAGCTAGCCAAATCTAGGTGCTTGGCATTGCTGAGAAATAAAACAATGAGGGAGTTCAAGCTTAAAATATTGGAGATATGTGGAGAAGCCAGGGATGGAGGAGGAAAAGACAATGCAGAACCGAGGACAGGAACTGCCAGTTATGTGAAAGTGTTTTATGGATGAATGGATCTTACTCATTTAATTTAAAGAAACAAATTGAATCAAAGAGATAAAAGCACATTGCCAGCAGCAGTGATGGGGAAAGAATACGAAGCAGCAATAGCACCTTGGATTACTTCTCTTTCCAGCTTCACTGGTCCGAAAACCAGCAAAAAAAAACAAGGAAAAGAAGCTAACCAAGTCAGAAAGGAACTCACTTCCTGCATTCTACACTTGATGCAATGAAGATGTGCTGACCAGATTCAATCCTGGACTGTCACTAGTGATCTGCAGCAGGGCTCTGTGCACCTTCTGAGACACAACTATGCTCAGAACAGCATGTTTTGGCAGCACTGGACTGTTCCGGTGAATTTGAATCCAGGCTTGACCTTTAAGAGATAAAACATTTAGCAATGGTACCACTCCTACATTCAACAAAGATGCTGAAAACGAACAGCACTCTCAAAGTCCCTTCTTTCCAAGGGCTGCCTTTTGTGTTACAAATGCTAATGAAAAACATTAATTAATGAAGCTGCAAGACCCTGGTCAGCTAGGGGAGGAATCTCATTGTGCAGACAGGAAATCTACACTGCAGAGAAGTTAAAGCCTGATTTGCTAGAGTTGGTCCGCCTCTAGTCAGCATCTGTACTCAGCACCTTTGAAAAATCAGGCCAAAAGAGAGACCATATAAAGTCAAACACAAAATCTGTGGCAGAACCAGCAATGGAACTCAGATGCTTTAAGTCACAAGATCCTTCTCATTTTGAAATGGCCAGGAGCCTGTGAATGGTGTCATTTGATACCCTGGAGGAGTCAAATCCTCTATTTATCCATAAAGCAAGTAGAACACTGGTACAGACAAGACAGGTACAGACAGATGCTTCCTTCAGCTCAAGTGGCAGACCCTTCTGGCTTGCAGTTCTATTCCCCATGCCACCCACATGTGGCTTAGCTGCTCACTGTGCTGTGAGTGTATGCCTCTGCTTTGAGATTCATGACAACTATTCACAATGTACGGAAGGGAGTCAACATTAAACAGGGAGGAAGCGTGACTGAACAATGGTGGACTGGCGAGAAAGGAATGAAACATTTAACAATTAACTTCCCATGCAAAAGGCTTAAGTGAATGAGTAATTAGTGGGCAGAGGGGACCAGCACTATGTGAACTAATTAGTTGTTAGAGTTAAAAAACCAGATAACGTCACTCAGCTAGTCAACTGACTTATTGAGGCACATAATTGAAGATCTGCTGCTCAGGACTTCATGAAAACAACAAGGAGTCCAGTGGCACCTTAAAGACTAACAGATTTATTTGGGCATAAGCTTTCATGGATAAAAAAACCTCACTTCTTCAGATCTGCATCTGAAGAAGTGAGGTTTTTTACCCACAAAAGCTTATGCTCAAATAAATCTGTTAGTCTTTAAGGTGCCACCAGACTCCTTGTTGTTTTTGTGGATACAGACTAACATGGCTACCCCCGATACAGGACTTCATGAATATCCATACTCTATGTTATGCCTTTACCAGAGCAAACAAGACTATAAAAAGAGAACTCTGTTCCTTTTTGTGACAGGGACCAGTGACTCTTGAGTTGCCTGGCTGTTATCCTTCCTTAGATCCCCTACAGCAACACCACGTTTCCCATGAGCCTATGTGAGCAGAGCCTGTAGTCAGGAAGTGAGGCAGAATGACATGATTTTGAAGCTTCCACGTTCCCTGTTGTGCATCTCAATCAGGTGTTTAGCAATTTTTAAAAGACCTACCAGGAGATATTAGATCTTGCTATTTTTAAAGAAACACAGGACCCAGCAACATTGTCAAATAGCTATGAAAATGTACCAGCTGAAACACAAAGTCTGCATCACCCCCACATTCCCCTTCTCGTGAAGATGATAATAGAACTATTAATAATCTATTCACCTAGCAAAAACCCTCTTGCTGTGGGTAACTGGTGAGAGAAATCTCATAAGGCTGATACATATATACATTAAGGCTGTAGGTTATTAGCTCCCTGCACACAGGGATTACTTGGTATTTCTATACAAGTCCATGTATACTACACCCAGCTACTCTAGTGATGGGTGCCACACAGATACCTGTAAAAAAAAAAAAATACACACATCTCAGGTCAGCAGATGCTGTGGAAGCCTCTCTCTAATCAATTCACTAGTAATTGTACAACTGGTGCCTCAGCTGGTGCTCACGCACACAAGGAGGTAGTTCACGCTCCATGCCTCGTTCCTTTCTTGACCTCTGTGCTGAGAATCCCAGCAAAGGCAATAATGAAGGCAGGTTTTAGGATATAAATACCTATTCAGGAGGAACGACAATGCCATCAATGCATTTCATACAAACAACCTAACGGATATCATAATAATATAAGAATGGCCATACTGGGTCAGACCAAAGGTCCATCTAGTGCAGTCTTCCGACAGTGGCCAGTGCCAGGTGCCCCAGAGGGAATGAACAGAACAGGTAATCAAGTGATCCATCCCTTGTCTCCCATTCCCAAATTCTGGCAAATGGTATCAAATGGGAATGATGTTCAGTCAACAGGGCAGCATTCAAACCATGGCCATGAAGATCATAAACTATCCTCACTTCTAAAACATAAGCCATTCACTCCCAGTGAGAGAGATGAGAGCCTTTGAAAAACTCTCCCTACAATATGTTTGCTGCCAGCAAACCACATGACTTTTTTTTTAAATCATGACGCTAATAAGCCAGATCACCTCTGCTAATAGGATACACAGAGATGGAGGAGTGTAGAATGAGCAGTGACTACTCATATACGCTCTTGTGACTCCCTCTGAACTCTTGCTAGGAAAGTATCATGTTTGCAGCTAGCAGATACTTAATATATCTGTCAATTACAGGTCTCCATTTAAAAATCAATATTTACCCATGGAAGTATCGGAATTCCTGCAATTCTTCCTACTCTATGTACAGTAAAACACTGCATTGTATGGAAACTGTGGGTAGATGCTGACTAACAGCAGCCACGGTACCTTGACTGCATAAAATACCCTGCAAACAATACAGTGCCTGGTATTCTTCTACTTTCATTTGGCGCGATCCCTAATAATCACCTCACCTACTTATGAATTAAATGGATCCTATAGCAATGCTATACAGAAATACAGGACAGAAAGTGAATGCCTTGGCCAAATAAGATTGCAGAGTAGTCAGGGAAAACAGAAAATAATTACCTGAATTGGAACAGAGACAGGGCTTTACAAGTGCTTTACAAAGGGAGGTAAGCATCATTATCCCTATTTTACAGATGGGGAAACTGAGGCACAGCGAGGGGAAGTGACTTGTCCAAGGTTGCCCAGCAGGCCAATAGCAGAGTTGGAAATAGAACCCAGCTCTCCTGAATCCCACCCCGCTGCTCTAACACCTACGCCACACTGCCTCCTCAGAGATGGGGTGTGCTTTCTTCCGGTCATTACTATTTGATAATTAACAAAAAAGTAGGATAGGATTTTTCAAATGAACTTAAGGGACTTGGGTTCCTATGTCACTTAGGTATTTTTGAAAATTTTATTTACATAGCTACTACTAAATGTCAACAGTAATAGGGCCCTTAAGGGCTTGTACATATGAAGAGTTAGGCTCCTTTGTAAACCCCAGCCTTAAAGCAGATTATCAAGTATTGTATTTCTGAGGCTTGGCTTCAATAGTCATGAAGTTTAGCAAAACAACAACAGCAACAACTTAGCATCAGAGCTTGTGTTAATATAAAAAATATTTCAGGTGATAAAAACTGACAATACTGAGTAGTTAACAGAGATTATCCATGAAAACGTGAAGATAAAAAGTAACTTCTTTCAAAGCACAAAGGGGCTCTCTCCTGGAGTGGGTGCACACACACTATTATATATTGCGAGTGCAAAATTAACTGTGTGAGATTCTTCATGGTAAGAACACGAGACTAACCAGAAAGAATGTTTAGCCTCAGTAGCAGAGTGATTTGCAACTGTAAAGCACCTGTCAGGTTCGTCTGGATCATTGCAGAACCAAAAATAATTGATTGATCGACGGATGCATTTTTAAGGAAAACTGAATAAAACATTCCTTGAAATGGAAATGAATTCCAGGTAGGAAGGAAATTATCACCTATTTTAAATATATTTTTTAATATCTCTTTCACTCATAGAAATTGCAGCTTACTACTCATGAGACATTGTTTTCAGAAAGGAAAACAAAAATCAATAACTGTTTTCAATTAATATTCCCCTTATTGATTATTTGGTTGCTATTTAATGAAGCACAGGTGGCTCCTTCTGGAAGGATCGACTGAATTATTGGGTCAAGTCAATCTTTACAACAACATGTCAACACTTAAACAAACAAACAAAGCAAAACCACAGCAAAACTAACCTTTTCTTGTACAAAATCCAAAATGTTCTTGAAATCCAGGTCATCATAATAATGCCTAATCCCCTCTTGGATGTTGGAATGGAAAACTGCATTCATCTGGGGAAACAAAAAGAAGCAACAGCACAATACCAAAGTGAAAAAGATGCTTGGAAAATACCAAGAACAGAAGACAAATACAAGGCTACAGAAATTATGCCTTTTTACAAACCACCATCATCTTTCTAGATCACTGTCCAAGGTTTAGGCCGCAATGTTGCCATGTCTTGTGATTTTGCATCTCAGAATAGTTGGTGTTTTTTTTTAAAGCTCCAGCTACTGGAGTCAGGTGATTACATGAGAATCGCAACTTTCATTTAAAAAAAAAAAAAAAAAACACAAACAAAAAAAAACAACAAATTCCCAGTCTTTGTGATTACGAAGAAAAGCTTGAAAATGTGATCCCTAAAACCTGAAACAGCAGAAGGCAAATAAGAATCCAAAGTTTATTTTTTAAATACTTATGATTTCTGGCGCCTGACTCTTGATTTTTGAACCTTCAGGGTTAGCACTCTTGTATGCAACCTCTGCCTTTATTTGCTCCATACTGCATCTTTAAATATCTAAGGCCATGTCTGCACTACAAAAGTATGTCAACCCAAGAGCTATCACAGATATTAAATTACTTGTGTGTGCATGCTTGCCTCCTTGTGTCGGCGATGCACGCCCTTGCCAGGAGCGCTTGTATCGATTGTACTGTCCGGGTGGGGCATTGTGGGACGGCTCCTGAAAGCCAATAACAGTTGACACAAGCAAAGCAGTGTCCAGGCGGACACTGCATCGACCTAATTACAACCACCGTGACTCTACGCCACTCGGGGAGGTGGTGTTACTAAATCGGCGTAGAGAGGCACTTACGTCAGCAGGAGCCAAATTTAAGTGAAGACACTTCCACAACTAGGTCGATGCAAGGCAGCTTACGTCGACCTAACCGCGTAGTGCAGACCAGGCCTAAGGGCTTTGCTGTCGACAGACAGTCATTTTGTGTTCAGGTCAGCATGTAGGAGCAGGATTTTATAATGTCCCATAAGAATTAATGCATGATTTGATTTCATCCTGTCAGCCACCCTTTTTGAATAGCAGAAAGGAATGACATACCAGAACAATCCTTATGACTGATTATGATCACCTTTTTGTTTTAGGATAAGTTATAATGTCTACTATGGTTTCCTATATGCATTACAAATTAGGCACTCTAGTTAAATATACATTTCTTTGTTTTAAGGTTTTAGTAAGTAAGAGACAGAATCTTGTATTGTATCTATGTTAAGGAAATTAGAGGAATGTTGAGGGCCTGAAGCCCCAATGTGAATTGTTTTAGTTATAAGATTTAGCAAGGCTTGATTTACAATGTATTCTGCTGGATATAAAATGCTGTCTGTATACCTTTGAAGGTTTCTGTAAGAGATTGTTTGTGTGAATGAGGAATGTATGCATCAGGAAAAGATAAGGTGTAAAGGCCATTGTTATAACCAGATGGTCAAGGAAGAAGGAGTGAAGAGACTTAAAGGACATCCATAATGAAGGGCAGATTGACGATCCTGAGGTGAAGGCTGGCACCCCTAAGGACAATTGATTAAATCAAACAAAGGACAGGATGACCCTCTCGGAGGTGTAACCGGTCACAAACTGACACAGCAAAATCCATAGACTTCAACAGAAAAAAAACCCTATAAGAACAGGGTGCTTGGCCATGGGACTTTGGGTTCATCTTGCCACACTCCAGGAGCATCAGATCGCAACCGATAGAGCCCTGCTCCCCTCTGCGGCCAATCTGGCTGGCCACTAGATTGATCCAAACTCTGGACTGGTAACTATAAACATCAATGCAGGACTATGTGTGTGTGTCTGAAAAGCATATGCTAACTGTTGTATTTTCAATAAATGCTGCATATTTGCCTTCCTCTATAAAGATCCTGTGTGCTTTGTATGAGCATAACAAGCAGACCCTGTCAGATTCTGTGCCATACATCTCAGGAGGTGCAGCAGAGAATGTCTGGCCAAAGGTATCCTTGAGACAACTAACTCTGGGCAAACTCCTGGGGCCGGCACACCTCCCAGCATGAATCAGAGCAGTGCCTAACTTAAAGCAGCATTCAACAGCTGCCTATGGGCTACTTTGCATCCCAAGGCACACCAGCCATTTCTCCTCCTGCCCCTGACATCCCCACTCTCTCTTCCAGCCCACGCCTATGCCTGGGCTGTACCGGACAGCACATTGGTCCTTATCCACTCTGAGCTGGGGGCATTGCCCAGGAGGCCATTCCAACTGTCTTTCTGGATCACAGAGAGAGTATTCTTGTTCCCTTAATCTTGACTTCCCAAATAATCCAAACTTGACAGGGCAGTCACACACTTTGGTATTCTGACTAAAATATGGCCAGGCCCTGCCAACTTAACCTAGAAGACAGGTCACAAAAATGTGCATTCCTGCTCAGTTTTTCCTAAACCTTGTCTACCAATTCTGTATTCTGAGGTAGTTGCTGAGGGAAACAGACTCTGGGAAGTCTTCAAAGGAGTCAGCTCTGAGCAGGGCAGCTACAAGCCAAACCCCAGAGCAGGTTGCCTCCTAAGAATGGATAAAATTACTCGGTTGAAGGAACCTTTTCGGTCACCCAGGCTCTGAGGTAAAAGCTGGGCCCAGGGACAGATTGGTGGGATTTTGAGTTTTACTTTAGAGTTATTGTTATCTGAATAAACCCAGACCCCAAGAAGGGTGTAGTGATTGGCTGAGCAAAGGTGCATGGGGGCTGTGTAAAAGGAGAGGGGAAATAAAGAGCCGGGCAGTCCCCGGCCACGAGGGGACCGACGGGTGATGGCCAACTCATTTACAGAACTTTGTTCCACTCCTGCAGCAGCTACCATGCCTATTGCTTTCAATGGAAGCGGCACCTGTGTAATGGATAGGGTTGCCAATTTTGGTTGGATGTATTCCTGGAGGTTTCAGCACATGACTTAATCTTTAATTAAAAGGTTAAAAACTTTAATTCCTGGAAACTCCAGGACAATCCTGGAGGGCTAGCAACTCTAGCAAGGGAGAGCAGAATCTGACCCTTATGGTCAAAGACTTATCATGTACTATTTTTCCCCTTGAAGACTCACTGGCGCAGCGCCTCCTCCTGGTCATATTGGAATTAGCTCTTTTCCAGATTCAAAGTGCCCTCTGCTGGCCGGTGTCTTGCCTGCCTCAGGCACTGTGTCCCTCCCAGACCCCAGTGGCCCTTTACCTGGGGGTTCTGCCCAAGCAGTACCCCCTTCCTCTAGGTCCCAGGGGAACCCCCAATCCACTATACTCACCTTGCCTCAGTGGCTACTGCTAGTCATCATCTAGCCCCCTTTCACTGGGGAAGACTGCAGTCTGTAATGGCCACTCATCATTGGCAATGGGGGGGGGGGGGGGGGAGAGGTTGGACCAGCTGCCTCTGCCTAACCCTGGACTGCACCTCTGCAGCCCCAGTACCTTCTTTAGGCCTTGCACAAGGCCTGCAGCCTGGGGAGTTACTAGGCTAGAGCTCCACAGCTCCTCTTGCCTTTGCCCAGCACTACTCTACCTCTGGTACCCTACTCCCAGGCAGCTAGGTCCTTCTCTCTCCACCACTAGAGAGACTCCTCCAACTTCTGGCTCACAGCCCTCTTATCAGGGCCAGCTGGGCCCTGATTGAGCTGGCCACACCTGTGGTCATCTACTCACTCAGCTTCCCCCAGCTGTTCTCACTCTTCTTATTTCAGGAGCAGGGTAACCACCCCACTACAGTCATGAAACACAGGACTCTGCTGTGTGGAATGGGACACACAAACAACAAGCTGACAAAGATCTCTAAGGCAGAGCTGATACAAAAGGCACCAGCTGGTTCTAAACAAACACAAATCCTTTATTTTCTACACAAGCTCACAACCTCCAGTAAATAAAAGCATCTTTATCCTGCCTGCCATTATCAGCGAGACGCATGTAGATAGCTGTCAGGGAAGCCAACAGCATCTTAGATTGTGTCTGTAGAGAAATCCCTCCCCAAAATGGGATTTATTAATACATAGGTATTTCAGCCCTTTGAAGACAGGGCTAGGCAGCACAACGAACCATGAGATTTGTCATATGGCTGTTGGCTACAATTATGATTTGTTGTATTGGATCTGATTCTTTCCCCCCGTTTTTATTTATTTACTTTTTACGTTTGTGTGATGGTGTTAGTGAACTAAGGCTATGCTGCTGCTAACACCGGAGATCTAAGTATTCTCTCCATAGAGCCCTTTGCACATTTAATTCTCTCCCTACTTAACATTTTTCATCCTGTTAGTAACTTTGTTCCCTGACTGCATCACATAAGAGGTTGTATTGCAACATAATAGTTAGTTGCATAGAGAGGGGATATGGGACATATTAGTACCGATAGTTTAAAGAGTTTCTTTAGTTCATGTTCTGTGGATCTATGTGTTTAAGAGTTGTAGGACAAAGGTTCCAGCCCCCATTTCTGACAGCAAGAGATACTGATCTAGTACAGGTGTCTGACTGGAAAGCAGAGAGGAGGGGGGGGGGAGGAGTGGATGGGGGGCAGGGCCTCAGAGAAAGAGGCAGGGGTCTATGGGAAAGGGGTGGGGCTTGAGAGGGAAATAGGTGGGGCAGGGGTGGGGCCTCGGTAAGGGACGGGGTAGGGGAGGTTCTGGCACTCCTGCTGGAGCGTCCGGTTTTTAAATATTACCAAGTTGGCAACCCTATGTGCAGCTAAAATCTGAGACCACAAACGGACACACGCAAAAAGACTTTCCTCACCAGTTCCTTCCCCCAGTGCTGTCTAGCCATGAGCTAGTCCTGTCTCTTCACAGCTCAGCTTTTGGCATGTTTGAGATAAATTAATTAACTCAACACAGCTGGCCTGTCTCTGCCACCCTCACAATCACTGAATTAAGGGCACGCAGCTGTGATCTCTTCTCAGAGACTGTACTAACCCTTTCGCTGCCAACTCCTACATAGGGTACCCACATTTTATCACACTGAATAGCAACCGCTTCATGCTCTTCCGAAAAGAAGTTTAAGGAAAGGCCCTTTGCTTTA